CTGAAGCATGCTAATAGGACTTTTAATTTGCCATTAACCTGGGTTAAGCGCTTCCGGCGAATTGAATGCCAATGCAAAATGCGGTGCGTTTAAGGTCTGTTTTCTTTAAAAATCAGCGATCTCCACTAGCTGAGTGATATCCGATATAAAGTGGGTCTCAGATTGAACAAGAAGCACTGCATTAAATTACATTTCCCCCGCCATATCTTTATTATATGAGCATTTATTTTTCCCCAGTATATTCAATGGAGCTTCTGCGTTAGCCTGCCGATTCTGACGGGCACGTGCGAGTAAACGGCTTTTTGTCTCGTTTTACGCTTGAGCAGCTAAATAAATGCAAAAGTTTATTTAACTGAATGTATTTTAATAACATTATAACATCGATGCTGTATAAGGAACCGTATAAAATGAGAAAAAGTTCACAACAGGTCACCGGAAGTGTATCAGCATGGAAAACGCACTAGCTCGGCATATACCCTATATGGCTGTAGGCCTATATCAGCTCTGTTGGGAGGCGTGCGAGCGCCCTATTGTCCCACCAGTGACAATATACAGTCATATCGCACTGTTACGAGTGTGATATTGCGTTTATACAACAGTCTGACGGCATAATCATATTAAATAGAAAATCAAACACAGAGAGTCTAAAAACCCTTTTGTATGAAGAACTACTTTCTTCCGCCATTCATTCATATCTGCAGCCAACATCAGAACAGCAGAAACTGTTGCTAATTCACAAATATCACTTTAGAGCTAGTATTTGAATGATTATCTAGCGTAAAGTCTAAAGTGATGAAAAAACAGGTGATTTTGCTCGCATTTTAAGATTATAAGGCTGAACGACATGTAATGCTATCAGATTTCCCAGTATTTCTATGCCACAGTATCGCAATATTTGTCCCCAAAAAAGCCAAAGCAACGCAAACACTACCAGATTACTATTGTGTTTGCGTTAAGGAAAAATGCTACATGCGGGCATTTCTTCTTTCTTTCTGTTTACTGAACTAGTCTGCAGTAACGAAAGTAAGAGAGACTCATTAGAAACAAACAGATGCCCAACCAACAAGTAACTCAGGGTTATACAAAGAGGAGCCAACACAAAATACACACGTTTCTGATATCTGAGTCCCATTTCATACTAAGTACACTACAAATATATGGTATAAATACAGCACTACAACATACAAAAAAGAGAAATCGACTTAAAATGTTACCAGTTTAATAATGATTTGATCAGCTTTAGTTATAAATTATGCTGTTTTTATCTTATTATGGGCATATTATGCGGTCTCTGTCACCATCTTGTGGATGAACAACATCGTCTTTGGTCTGCTCAATGACAGGCTAATGGCAGCCGAGAAGCTCTCTCAGAAATGATAAATATTTAAAATAGGCACTGTCCTTATAAATAAACTGCATGGTTGCAATTTAAACAAATACATTCTTGACTAAAAAAGCCTAAAAGTACATTGTTCAACACAAAAGAAGATATTTTTAAAAATGACGAAAACCTGTTACCATTGACATTCATAGTATTTGTTTTTCCCACTATGGAAATCAAGGTTTTCACCCTATTCAAAATATATTATTGTTATTCAACAGAATAAAGAAACTTATAAAGGTTTAAAACCACTTGAGAGAGAGTAAATTGTCATTATGGGGTGAACTATTACTTTAAGTTTGAAATTAAACATATTTAGATTTATATTAATACAAAATAATAATAAAAGCACACTGGATAATAACTCAATACATTGGTGTATGGCTGCCACGTTTTATTCTACAAAATTATGTTTAAATAGAGCTAGTAATTTATTACACCACACATCAGTGGTTTTCTATCCAAATATTTAGGCTACTTTGGTGGCAGTTATGTAATAAGTGAGATAGTAGTTTCTGTCATCAACAAGATGAAAACTGTAATTCAGATGACATATAAGGTATAATTTCATTGAAAAGCCTAACAATGTAGATATAAATCTTATTAAAAATAAAGAACGAATTTCAGCAGTTTTGTCATCTGAACGTTAAAAATTTAAAAACTCGCGCTCTTTGCTTTAGGACGGATTCTGATTGGCTGTCAACGCTTTCGCCGTTAATCAACTGGCCTAAAAAACATGTACGTTAGCCTAGTTTTGTCTAAATAGTATGGCGATTCTGCTATGCTTTATGTTTATATTCGTATTAAACAATATTATTTAGTATCATTATAGTTGTTTATGCAGTTATTATAACACAATTAGCCTATTATTCTGGATAAATAACCGAAATCAGTCCTATTATATCGCGCGGATGATTTTTCTGCGTGAGAAGATGGATGTGTGGTGTGAGAGCGTGAGAGTTGGCAGACCTGTTTGTTGAACCTCTAACCTGGGTAAGGTACAATACTGTTCTCTATCTGAGACACCACTTAGGTTTTTCTACAGATACAGATCTTTCTACAGATATTTTAAGGTAAGAAGCAAACCTCAAGCTCTTTTCAAAAAGACAGAAAGATAGTGAACTTTGGACTTTGCTGTATATGAGGAACCAGCCGCGATAAAGCGAGTGAAGTTTATTGCATAACGCCGACACCACAGAGAGAAAGACGTTACTTCTCTATCTCTGGCTGCCCTCCTCCTCTCCTCTCTTTATTTCTTTTTTTTTTTTTTGCTTTCCCTCCCTGTGTTCGATAACCTGTTCTTCAGCTTTGCAGTTTTCCAGGTAAGAACAAAGGCTGAGGGATAAAGAAACCTGACCCTGCTGAAAAAAAATGATAGTAAACACTGCAGAAACTGTAATTGTCTGTAATTATTAAGTTATATTGGTTTTAATAGAAAGTGTGCTGCTTCTAATTATCTACCTGTGGTAATTAATCTACTGGACTGGTAATTAGTTTGCCTTTTGTTGATGGCATGTTTAAATAAATAAAGAAATATATGCCAAAAACACACTAGAAACCATTAAAATCTACTGGTTTTCATGCTTAAAATATAATGGTTTGAAATGTTTTAAAGGGATAGTTGACACTAGTTTCCAATGTAAATTACTGTAGTATTATTTTATGTGAGGTGATGATAAGTTTAAGCACAGTCAATAGTCTTATTCATATAGTATTATTACCTGGGGATCTTGTGTGATTTACAAATAGTTTCCATCCTTACACTTACCGGCCACTTCATTAGGTACACCTGTCTAACTGCATGTTGACGCAAATTTCTATTCAGCCAATCACATGGCAGCAACTCAAGGCATTTAGGCATGTAGACATGGTCAAGACGATCTACTACAGTTCAAACTGGGCGTTCAACATAGGGAAGAAAGGTGATTTAAGTGACTTTGAATGTGTCATGGTTGTTAGTGCCATGCGGGCTGGTCTGAGTATTTTAGAAACTGCTGATCTACTGGGATTTTCACGCAAGACCATTTCTAGGGTTTACAGAGAATGGTCTGAAAAAGAGTAAATATCCAGTGAGCGGCAGTTCTGTGGGCACAAATGCCTTGTTACTGCCAGAAGTCAGAGGAGAATGGCCAGACTGGTTCCAGCTGATAGAAAGGCAACAGTAACAGTATTAACCACTCGTTTTTTGACCATGTCCATCCCTTTATGACCACTGTGTACCCGTCTTCTGATGGCTACTTTCAGCAGGATAAACACCATGTCATAAAGTGCAAATCATCTCAGATACAAGTAACGTGTATCTAATAAAGTGCCTAGTGAATATGTATGGTTCTGACGATCACGGAAATCACGCTGAACAATGATCGCGAGAGCGCGCTTACCCCTCTAGACGCAATTTGATATTTTCTTTTATAATTTGTCTTGTGTGTAGCCTCATAAATTTTACTTTTATAGTTACAAATAAGTTCTTTTCAATGCATTTAAAGTAAAATACTTGAACATAAACATGGGAGGCTGAGAAAAGTGCTCATTTTAGGAGAAAATTTCAGATGGCGTTTAGAGGTTTATGCATCTGAACTCTTCATATACACTCAAAAAATGATTGTTGCTTGTTCAAACTACTTGTGATGAGTTGAAACAACACATCACACGGTATTTATTGAATCATTTACAGGAAAAAACAAAACTTATGAAAATACTTCAAAAAAGTGCCAAAAGTGTCAATGACATACAAATTAGCCATCTATCTGTAAGCTTTGAAACAGGAACTTCAATTTTAATAACAAAAAAAATATTAAACCATGTAAAAAAAAAAATTTTTTTTTATTTAGTATTGTTGAAAACTCATCACATTCAACATTTAATCACTCACTCACTTAGATAGAGATGGGTTTAAAGGAAAATTATCATATAAATATAATCTGGTTAAAGCTGGTATCTCTGGGCATTTACAATGTCCCCTGCAACAGAAAAAAAAACCTCTCATTTGGGACTGAGGTTTCTGGGACAAGAGAGATATGACTTATATGACTTATTTCTCGAGCGCCGAAAACGGAGCGTTTCGAAAACGCTGGAGAGGCCGTTTTCATTCTGAAACGCTGCTGCTCCGTCTCAAGGCTGATTTATACTTCTGCGTCAAACACCGGCGTAGGCTACGGCGCTGACGCATAGCCCTTCGCCGTGGCCATTGCCGTCGCTGACGTGCACCTCTCAAAATTTGTAACTACACGTCGCAACAACGCGTAGCGCAAGCTCTGTGATTGGTCGGCTTGCTAGCGCCGACGAGTCTGGGCGGGACCGAAAGCCGCGCGAATGGCGCGAGCGATTGTTTACAAGTGTGGAGTCCCGTGAAGGAGCTCCGGATGGAAAGTTTTGTTCTGTGTTTACCTCATGGTTAAAGTTGTTGCACGTCTGCCGGTTCCTGCCTCAAAATGAGCGAGTTTGAGTCACTTGTACATCCAGGAAGTGTTCAGAATAGCAAAACAGAAGCGAAGAAACTCGACACAGAGGAACATTTACACCTCACTGCCCACTAGCGTTTCGGAAGTGTTAATGCAGACCAACAGAGACAGCGCGCAGAAGTATAAATGCACAGCTGCGCGCGTTGCCTGCGCCGTGAGTTGCGCCGGTCACTTGACGCAGAAGTATAAACCAGGCTTCACTCAGCAATACCTAAATGTGTTACCAGGAGACAGGGATTGATTTTGTTTTGCTTGTATATGTTTTAGACTTCTAAAATGCTGATAGACATGGCAAGATCACAATTCACACTTAAACTCTTCATGAGTGTTCTACAGACAAAAACTTCACCTCCATCTTCGCTGGCACTGAGGGTGAGTAAATAAACATCAATCAAATCTTAATTCTTTGGTGAACAGTCTTTTTAATGTATGCCATTATAGGAAGAGAATTGACCTTTCGGATCACTTCCTGAATGAACTGTCTAGACAGAAGCTATTTAAATGTATGTCGATTTGTACAAACAACACAGTCAGCATCTCTCGTTCTGCTGTCAAAACACATGTTAAACCGTACTGCCACCTGCTTTATGGTTTACCGCTGGTTCTGTTGGTCTCCTAAATCTTTAAAGAGGGCCTATTATGCCCCTTTTATCTAAAATAAGTCTCTGATGTCCTTAGTGTGTGTATGTGAAGGTTCAGCTCGAATCTTTAGTTACAATTGACTTATGAAATGTTAATAATAAACGTTTACAAAGTGATTTTAAGGCTTTCGAAAATCACGATGGCAGTATATATGTCCATGCCTAATATCCGATAGCCAGAAAGTGATAAATTTTTTATAAATTGTAAAATTTTTGGTATTTGTAATGCAGCAAGCCCAGAGATTGTTGTGTACACTTTGACTTTATGTAAAATTAACTTTAATGTGTGATAGGAATAAAACGTGATCATAAACGAATGATTTCTCCACTCAAATGAATGGCAGCTTGGACCCGGAAACAGTATTACATACGTCACAAACACGTCACCACTTAACAAGTGGATATCTTTGGCAGGTATGGTGTGAAAACTAATATGGCAGATGGCTGCTTCTCACTCAGGGCTGTCTATGCTAACGAGGGAGAGATCGTCACTAATGGATATGTAAATGTACAATTGGAGAATGTCAATTGAAAGTGTTTCTGCAGACGTTTTTTTTTTCTGAAGTGTGATTATATATTATCAAATTATAATTTTTTTTTTCCATTAGAAGCTGGATATATCCACACATTGTTGCCACACAGCTGTGTTTAAACCCCTTATAAAAGTGCTTTTTTCATAAAAGTCACCTTTAATGGATGTGTGCTGGCCTATATTTATAAATAAGACCATTCTGTTTGTGTCTGTCTGTCTGTCTCTAGTATAAACATTGTCTCGTCAAACTAGTTGTGACCAGCTGAGCATGTTTGAACAGGTTTGTTGTTGGTGTTGAAATCCCTGTCATAGGCATTCACATTTCACATATGTGTGACTCCTAATCTCATTGTCTGAAAGTTGTAATGAAATGGAAAATCCAATAGTCTTGTTTCTCCAATTGTGATGCATATTGAAATGAAATGGCTTCTTGTGTTAGACTTGATTTGGCTTTGCAGGAATTGATCAATTTGCTTTATGGTTGTTTCTAATGGTTTCTGTAACCTAAAAAGCCACCTGTACATGTATATTTTATTTCTATGTTTATGTAAGTAAAACAGTCAACAATGCATTTATTGCACATAAATAATCTTATTGGTTTCCCCCACAGTCCAAACCAAAGATGTAATATAGGTGAAATGGGTAAGCTAAATTGGCCTTGGTGTATGTGTGTGTATGGATGTTTCCCAGTGGTGGGTTGCAGCTGGAAGGGCATCCGCTGCGTAAAACATACGCTGGATAAGTTGGTGGTTCGTTCAGCTGTTTCCACCCTAGATTAATAAAGGTACCAAGCAGAAAATAAAATAAATGAATGAATTAAAATAAAGAAAAGGCGTCATGGTGGCACAGTGGGTAGCCCAATCACCTCACAGCAAGAAGGTCACTGGTTCGAGCCTCGGCTGGGTCAATTGGCATTTCTGTGTGGATCTTTGCATGTTCTCCCCGTGTTAGGGGTGCTCCAGTTTCCCCCACAGTCCAAACACATGCACTATAGCTGGAAAAATTCAAAAGGGGGCTAATAATTGTAATTATAATAATTGGACTTCATCTGTGTGCGTGTATATACAGTTGAAGTCAGAATTATTAGCCCCCCTTTGATTTTTTTTTCTTTTTTAAATATTTTCCAAATTATGTTTAACAGAGCAAGGTAATTCTCAGTATGTCTGATAATATTTTTTTTTTTCTAGAGAAAGTCTTATTTGTTTTATTTAGAAAAAAAGCAGTTTTAAATTTTTTAAACACCATTTTAAGGACAAAATTATTAGCCCCTTTAAGCAATTTTTTTTCCCGACTGTCTACAGAAAAAACATCATTATACAATAACTTGCCTAATTATCCTAACCTGCCTAGTTAACCTCATTAACCTAATTAAGCCTTTAAATGTCAATTTAAGCTGTATAGAAGTGTCTTGAAAAATATCTAGTAAAATATTATTTACTGTCATCATAGCAAAGTTAAATTAAATCAGTTATTAGAAATGAGTTATGAAAACTATTATCTTTAGAAATGTGTTGAGAAAATCTTCTCCGATAAAAAGAAATTGGGGAAAAAATAAACAGGGGGGGTAATAATTTTAACTTTAACCATATATATATATATATATATATATATATATATATATATATATATAT